GATGAATAAAATGAAAGAAAGAAAGAAAGAACAAAAAAAGAACACACACACACATGCACAAGAAAGAAAAAAGGGGTAGAAGAAAACGATAAAAGAAAGATGGAAATGTTGTATACGAAGGTGTCGAACATGAGAGTATTTAACCCACGCCAAAAGTCTTACAACGACAATTATTTCCTCCCACTTGGGTCCGGTCCATTATCTAGTCCCTAAATCGGGTACACGTTCGGTCTTAAATCAGATCGTTCTACGTAGAGTTAGGAGGAGGACAAGTATCGCGAATCGTTCTTCCTACGTGGTAGACGTAGCGACGAGGAACACCGTTTCCCTTTTATTTCCTCTCGATATCCTCGAGACGAAGAAGAGGACGAAGAAGAAGACGAAGAAGACGAGATTCGAGACTCTTCCTACGAGAGAAAGAGAATAAGAAAGTGAGATAGATAGATGGATAGAAAGAAAGAGAGAGAGAGAGAAATAGATAGGTAGATAAAGAGAGAAAGAGAGAGAGAGGCGTGTGTCAGTGGGTGTAATAGAGTGAGGTAAAGTCGAGATCCGATTTATAAAAGCCACGATGCAAGCAAGCAAGCAAGCAAGCAAGCAAGCAAGCAAGCAAGCAAGGGAGTGTAACGGCTTCAAGGACGAGCGTACACACCCGACTCTCTCAGGAAACTGCTAACCGACATCCGCGCGAGGACACACGCGCCTGTGCATCTGGTCGATGCGAGGTGTTCTCCGTTGTAACGCATCGCAAAAACCAGTTATCTCTTTCTAGTTCTTCTTCTTCTTTTTCTTCTTCTTCTTCTTCTTCTTCTTCTTCTTCTTCTTCTTCGTCTTTTTCTTTTTCTTTTTCTTCTTCTCTTTTCCTTTAGACTTGAGTAGTCCACGAGAAAAGTGAGAGACAAGAAGAAAAAAAGAAGCTCATGGAAGACCTTCGTTGAAGGATGATGACCACGGAAAAGGATTCAATCTCCCCTAAAATTAAATTAAAAGAAAGAAAAAAAAAAAAAAAAAAAAAAAAAAGAAAAAAAAAGAAAAAAAGATACACGAGATCTCTCGTTATTATAAAAGAAGTAAGAAGATAAAAACAATATCAATGGGCATCGATTGGAGATACATAACGGATAAGTAATTTGCACCTCTCTCTCTCTCTCTCTCTCTCTCTCTCTCTCTCTCTGTTTAACGAAAGAAAAAAGAAAAAAAAAAAGGACAAAGAGAACGACAAAGGACGAGCATGACTATGACTATGACTATAACGAGAGGACGTTTTCACTCACGCCAAGGCCTCTCTTCGAATAACCGCAGACGAATAGTTTTGAAATGGAAGCCCTGATTCGATACATCGAACTCCTTACTCGAGTGTATCATTGCTATTATCCATTTTTTCTTCTTTCCCTTTCTCCCACCACCCTCCTATCAAATCCCGTTCTGTGAAATCGCTTCTTAAAAAGGACGCATTTAATCGGATCTATTTATTTATTTACTTACTTACTTACTTGCAAATAAAAACAATCTATGGAATTAGATACATATATTCCTCGATCGCGTACAAATTTTGTAAATTAATGATTGAATAGTCAACAAAAAAAAAAAAAAAAAAAAAAAGAAAATATTTAATTATTAATTGATTTATACAAAAGAGAGAGAGAGAGAGAGAGAGAGAGAGAGAGAGAGAGAGAGAGAGAGAGAGAGAGAGAGAGAGAGAGAGAGAGAGAAAGAGAGAGAGAGAAAGAGATAGTTGTCGGTTTGCTGGCTTTTTGTAAGTCCTGTCAAAACATTTTACGGTGTCTCGCGGCTTCTTAATGGGCTGCTAACGATAACGTAAATCATGACTCGATGATCGTCGGGAAAACTAATGACCGAGCTTATCGTCGGTTTCTTCTCGATACGTCGGTCAATTATATTCTCGCGAGGGTTCGCGCCGAGAATCAACCTGAGGGGAGGGAAAAAGTTTTGACAGGATCGATGACTAAATCGTATAACGTAACGGCGAGTCAATAATTTTACCGGCACGTGGCGTTCGCGTGGAGAAGATCGACGGCTCCTGCTCTGGTCCATGGATAACGATCTTAAAGAAGAATGAAGGTGGTGGACCCAGAGAAAATCGCACGAAAGAAATCATCGAAAGAAAGAGAGAGGAGAAAGGTAACAGGATAAGACGAGAGAGAAGGGATGAGGAAGGGTGGGAGGGGGAGGGAATGGGCAAGGAGGGGAAGAAACAGGAGAAATGAGGCTTACTTTCGTCTCCTTCCCATTCGTACCAATGCGAATTCATTTATGCGATATATATCTATATACATATATCGACATGACACCATCTTAAAGGATGACGAATCGTCACACAGCAGCTTCTTTCGTTTGTTCGTTCGTTCGATTCAAAAAAAAAAGAAAAGAAAGAAAAGAAAAAAAATGAAACAAAATCGATTAAAATAATGACGATTGAATTGTAACAATGATAATGAAATTGGCCATAATAAATAAAGAGATTTTGAAGGGATCGAATACTTCTTATTTATCTTCTTTTTCCTTTTCTCTTTTTGTTCGAGTATTATCGAAAAAAAAAAAGAAAGAAAAAAGTAATATCCAAGAAGCAATTGTATACGAACGAAAAGAAAAAAAGATGAAGAAAGCAAAAAAAGAATCGTATAAGCTAGGCCAACTTCATTATCACCGGTGTAATTAGCGAAACGAATTACGAAGGATACACTAACATTATATTTTGAAGGTAATACGATGAACATGCGAAAGCGAACGAGAAAAAGAGAGAGAGAGAGAGAGAGAGAGAGAGAGAGAGAGAGAGAGAGAGAGAGAGAGAGAGAGAGAGAGAGAGAGAGAGAGAGAAGGGGAGAGAGAAAGAGAGAAAATCGACCTTGTTTCTTTTTGCTTCTGTTCGTCTCTTTGAGAAGAAAGAACATAAAAAAAAAAATACATAAATAAAAAAAGAAAAAATAAATAAATAAAAAGAAGAACAAGTTGTTTTTAGATCTATCGGATCAAGTTGTTAAAGGACCCGAACTTGTTCGCTCGCTCGATGATTAACAGCTCCGATCTTCTCTTTTAATTACTTACCGCGCAAAAGAAATTATCTTATCCAATATGCTAACTGAATCGAAACGATGCTCTATGTCGACATACTCCGGTTGTTATCTGTACAGACAGAGAAAAAAAAAAAAAGAAAGGAAAGAAGAAAAAAAAATGAACCGGACGTGTTGTCCATGAACAAGAAGATTCTGTGCATCGATTTTCTCTCTCAAATCTTAAACATTAATATATCCTTATAATCCAAGTTTTATAGTTCGTATTTCATTAAATTTCCTTTTTACAAGCTCCTTTCTGATTTATAATTATATAATTTTTTCGTAAGTAAAAATTTTAGAAAGGACTAAAGCCAATAATTAACCATGCGAATTTTGATTGAATTTAGAAAGCCATATTATTAGTGGCTCAACCAGTTCTTGAATTAGATCATGTTAAAATAATTATTTGATTGTAAATAAGACATCGATTGCTCTTTAATATTAAGGTATTACTATTTTACTACCTTAAAACACCTATTATATAAAATCATATTATTATTGTATATCTGTTAATATTATACATATATATATTTATTATATATATATATAATTTAAAAAAAAAAAAAAAGAAAAACGAAATCAACCGTGAAACGAAAAAAAAATTTTGTTCTAATCGATTATCGAGATCAGATGAAAATTTATGAATCTGTTTGACGTCAATCTACCTAACTACCTACCTACCTACCTAAAAGAAAGAAAGAGAACCCATTAATCATTTTTTTGAAACTCTATTCCTACCACAAATATCTATATATCTACTGATGTGTAATATATTATATTTAATCGAATATTAAAAATAGAATTATATAAAGATTATATATTATATTTTATTAAATATTATTAAGAATATAATAAATAATAAAAATAATTTCATCTTGTGTTAAATTAAAGATTGTCCTATTTTTTTTTTTTTTTTTTTTTTTTTTTTTTTTTTTTTTTTTTTTTTTTTTTTTTTTTTTTTATTACATTATATATATCTCATTTTATATATATATATATATATATATATATCTTTGGATAATTTAAATGGCACCTGTAAACATAAAACATCTAAAACATTTTATAATTAAATAAAAAGCGATCGTAATAAACTGCAAATTTTATATTATAAATCAACTGTCACCTGTAAAAATAAAAACATTTCAATCACTTTATAATTAAACAAATAAAAAATAATATTCTATCATTATGTAAATATATCAGCAAAGTCACCTGTGAAAATAAAACGTCTGAAACACTTTGATATTAAAATAAAAGTAATCAAACAATTAATATGCAAATTTTATATAAAATAATCTTATGTTAAAAATATAAGGTATTAAATAATTTAAATATATTTTTCCATTTTTAATGGATGTTTTAATAAAAGAACAAGATCACGATTAGTATCGTTTAACTAAATATAATCTATCCGTCACTAAGGGGTTTGTCTTCTTCTTGTTCATTTGTTGATAGATAAAAGTAGATCGCGATTAAATAGACTAAGCACGAAGATAGCAATGGCGTCTAACATAGACCACACATCGCATACTTTTCTTCAACGAAATCGGATAAATTAATGCCCGATTTCACCACCACTACTGTTTGCTGCTCGCAATCGAGCAAACACGAAGAGCTAATTAATTGCACTGTTAATTAAACGACTCTATACGATGAAACAAGAAGACCCTGGCCTGATAGAAAATAATGAAAAATTCACAAGGTAGAAAAAAGAAACGATACACACATGTAGAATAAACCCCCTGCGCTACACACATACACTCATAAGTAAAATCAAAAGATTCTAATTATGATCACTTTTGCTCGTTTAAGATCAAATTACAGCTACGAATTAGAACCAATCGTCGATATAAAAACCTTTCATTTTCGAACCCGATGGGAAAACTAAAATTTAAAAAGGAGAAACTTGAAATTTTTTTCACTTACTACTTAAGAAATTCTGCGATGGCTCCGAAACACTCGTCCTACATCTCTTCCCCTTGACGTAGGTCTAATGATGTCGTGAAATTTGATTGTAATTATCGTTGCATCGATGAAATCGTTGATCGATCTATAATAAAAAAAAAAAAAAAAGATTAATTATATGTTCAATATAAACGGTATATTAAAATTAATTAATCGTGATTAATTATAATGCACAATATCAAATATGTTAGATGAATGAAAATAATTAAAAAAAAATATATGATTTAAATAACGAACGAGAATTAATGATTAGAATAAATTAAAATGTTTTGTAATTTTATTAAATATGTGTACTCACATGTGATTGTATCCAAGCGAAGTTTTACATTCAGGCTGATAATTAAATGAAAGGGATGAATTTTTTAATTTATATTTTCAACCATTATACGATATTTTTTACAACGCTATGATTCTAATTAATGTGACGAACAAATTATTTTAACAAAAACGTTATACGATTAATTTAGGATTAATTTTTTAACACAACCGAAAATAATTTTTATTAGGCGGAAACAACACTGACTCTAATTTAACGCGAAAGAAAAAGAAAAAAGTAAAATAAAAAATGTACCATTAAATCATTTATTTGTTGTAGCAAGCTATAGTATAATTCTGTAATAATAATTATTTTATAATATATTATTTAATATTATTATTAATTGATTCATTACTGGGAATTTGTATTTTAATTAAAAATTTTAATTTATTAATAAACGTATAATATTAAAAATATAAATTTAAGAATAAACGTATCTATAAACTTGTTCTATTTTAATTGAAATTTGCAATGAAAATTTATCAAAAATCATTCAAGTACTTTATCATTTTGTTATACATTGTACAACTTTATAATCAATGAATGAATGAATGAATTAATTAATTAATCAATATTTTATAATATATTGAACGTCAGCCATTAGCTCGGTAGTACTTGCGTTGAACTATAAAAAATATATGAACACCGAAAGCAATACCGATTACCAGATCTCACCACATGGAGGTTGCTGCGTATGGAGATCCATTTATTACACATCATAAAAAAAAAAATATATATATATATATATATACATAAAAAAAAAAAATTTCATATAATACAAGATTTAAAATATATTAAAAATTATATTTCTGCGATTAAATTTTGATTAAAGGAACAAATCGCAATGTATAACAATATTTAATAATTTTCTTGATCATGAGAATATTTATATTAAAATATTCATCTATCTCGCATGAAAGTCGAATTTGTGAATTTGTCATAATGATCTAACTTCTAATAAGAATCTAATCTACCTTCGACAATGCTTTTTTTGTTTTTGTTTTAAAAACGATATTCCCAGAATACATCAAATGCAAAGTAATAATATACATACATATATATATATATATATATATATATATATATATATATATAAAATTTATAAAAATTAAATATTAAATAATAAATTATTAATTATTAAATATTAAAATACTAAATAAAAATAATGAATCATTAAAATGTATGAAACGCACAAGATATGTATGAACTATGATAAATGTATTCCAGTAATTAATGTAGAAAATTCGAGAAAATAAACAGGTTCGCATACGTCTGAACTACCGTATATATGTATTACGTATAAAATATTGCGTGTACTTACTTACGTGTGTTAAAACTAGATTGACAGTGGCCTTGAGTCGAGCTCGAAGATCGATTGTTTTCATTCCTTTTTCGTCCTTTATTGTTTTCGTTTCTTACGAAAAAATTTCCTGGAAATTTATATATCGTCCCAAATGTATAAATACAGTATGTATTGTTTACCTAGCTCTCTCTCTCTCTCTTTTTCTCTCTCTCTCTTTCTCTCTCTATTTCTATATTTGCTTTAAGATATAAACATATATCTTTTATATATAAAACAACTACATATTAATTTCAATGTGTTGGATTTTTCTAAGTAATTATATATAAAATTTTTTTAAGCTGGAAGAATTTTACAAATGTATCAACAGTGTGTAATCTATATGTGTATATCTATATGCGTGCGTGCGTGCGTGTGTATGTGTATGTGTGTGTATATACACATATATATATATACATATATATATAAAAGACAAATATAATAAAAAAATTCGATTTATCTAATTAATGAAAAATTATAAATCGCGACATTGTAAAAAGCGAAAAAAGTAATGGTATTATAGGAAATAATATTGAAAGAAATTACGAAAAAGTTATTACGTAGTATCTTTCGAAGGTTATCCCCAAAACGAAGATTTGATTTTCGTGAATATCTATCGAACGACATGATGGTTTAACTTGCGAACAACACATATTAGAGAACGCGTTTTAAGGAATAATTTGATATATAATAGAAAGGTGTACGTTTAAAAAAAGATATACTAATTTTCTTTAATGACGGAGGACGAAGAGCGACCGTGCGAACTGTATCGAGAGACGAACACAAAATGGCGTCAATATTACCGTCACGGAGAATATATAAACCTCGTGTCATTTTTTTTTTAATACACGTCGTCAATGACGAAATTGAATTTTCTTCTCAAAAATTTTTTGTTTTTTTCTAAAGTATAATAAAGTACGACATAACGTATATAAACAATTAAAAACATAAATTATTAATAAGTAATTATTATTGTCTAATTAAGTAATTAATTAATATAACCTATGAAATTGATATGTACGTATATCCTCAAGACCAAGCATACGAATGTTTCGTATTACGTAATATATATCACACAATATCTTTTCCATTTCGAAGTTCTTAATTTCTTATAACGATTAATTCCAAAATGAAATATCATTTTATTATCACGTTAATAAATGAATAATCGAATATTCTACGATCGCAAAAATAATTCTTAAATATTAACAACCTTTTTCTGATTGGACTCAATTAAAATGCGATGAAATAATTCGTTCTGATTGGTTAAATCCGAGGAAGAAGAAGAATGAATTGGCCAATCAAAAGCAACGAAGGAAAAATATCCTGTATTGTCAATTACGTCAATAAATACGATAAATCGTATTTAGATTTTCTACGTCTAATTTCTATAATATATTTTAAGAATATAAATTTGTTTTTTTTTTGTGTGCGTATGTACATATATTATTTACGAAGAAATGAAAAAAAAAAAGAGAGAGAAAGAGAGAGAAGAAAAAAATAAGATTGTATCGAGTGCATTGAACTTCGCAGATATTTACATAAGTACGTATGTATAACCTAATCGAACATAGCCTATAAAATTTCTAAAACATTATTAAAATGAAATAATATGAAAGATATATGTATGTATCGTGAATGTTAGCTATGTGAGTGTGACGTGTGAAAGTTCGTATGAATATCTATTAATATCTATTAATCTGTAGTTTCGATATTATTTCGATATATGTAATTGTATGCATATATGTAAATCATTACAAAACAATAATGAGTTTTATAGATACTTTGCATGTGTTGAATTATAATTTACTTGAACTATAGTTTATAATTTGAAACGTTAAATAGATCACTTATACATGCATGTGTGTGTGCGTGGATGCGTGTGTGTGTGTGTGTGATATAATACGTAAGATATATATGTACATAAAATGAGTATATATATATATATATAACTAATTTCGTTAAAATTAATTTCGTAGATATGTATATATATGTACGTATCTGGAGAAACAGCAAGCTTGAACGAATCTGGAATTAATTAATAAGTTCCTGTGAATTAATTAATAAGAGCTATAGCGTGAGAATGATTAATCAATGACGTCCAGATCACTGTTAAAATAGAAAAGAAACCAGTATAAGTTATCTATCGATGTTCACTCATCGGAGTACAGAAGACGACTGACCCGATGATAACAGTCAAAGTTAGTTTTGTTTCTATCGTATCGAGAGTATGTTTTTGTTGACATACCACGTAATCGATGATCTTCTAAAGGAAAATTTGAATCTAAGAGATAATATAAAATGTATGTTATAATTAAAATGTATTACGAGTCGTGTAATGTTTAAATGAATTTATTATAATTTATTAAAACGATTAATTCATTTAACTAAATGTATTTTTATATTGTTTAAATAAATCTAATTCTTAAGAAAAGTATTTCATTTTGAAATCGTCGAGATACAAAAGAGAACTTGAACTTAATTAATTAATTTTATCGGATGTATTTATCGGATTTTAAGAGCATTCTATCGTTTAATTAAATGTATTATTTTTTAAATATTAATTAAATGTAAAACTTCGTTTAGATTATATATTGTTTAATTTGTAAAAAGGCCGTTCTTTTCAAATTTAATCGTATCGATATATTAAATTAAAATTTATTTTATATTTCACGCTTGTATAACGTTAATACTAATGTATAATAAAATGTTAAAAAATAAAATACTAATGTATTTTATTATTATGTTTATCTACAATAAACATATGATTATTATAGATATATATATATATATATATATATATATATATATATATCGATATTATATTTGATGCTTCGAGATGAACGTAAAGTACATAGAACAAGATCAGATTCGATCTAATTTAATCATTAATAATTATATTCAAAAATACATATCTCATCGTTACTCTATACGAATAAATAAATAAATAAATAAATAAATAAATAAATAAATAGATAAATGAAAAAAGGAGAAGTTAAAAGTTAGAAAAGAGACGAAATTGAACGAAGAGGAAGAGCATATGGAAGAAGATAAAAAGATAAAATAAAAAAAAAAAAAGAAAAAAGAAACAAACGAAAGAGGATCGGGATCGATGTAAGGATCGAAGGAGAATATATATCGACGCCAATAAAGGATCGATAACGATATAAATCGAGATATACGGATGGGTACACGGGCGGTACTTGTACACAGAGGATCTAACATGAGCGGCCGCTTATTATGAGCCGGAGGAACGGGCCGTGGTTCGTGCAGGGTCGTATCATGGGTGGTCTGTCTGTATGCTAATCCAAGTTCCTGTGTCGTCTCTCTCTTTCCGAACGACAGCTTGCTTTCATCAAATATGTACCTATTTCTCCTATTGGTATAGAAACATTATTTATATATTAACTTATAGAATTAATATATGTATATATATAGAAAGAAAAAGATAGAAAGAGAGAGAGACAAATCTTTCGTTTAAATCATTTGTTCTTTTATCAAAAAATTATATATATTGTACATCAAGAAAAAATACGTAAATACATATACCTATACATAAATATATATACATATATATGTATGTATATATATGTATGTATGTATGAATATTACAGTAGAATAGGAAAGTCTAGTGAGTACGAGAAAGTCAGTAGGATTTTATTATCGAGAATGATCGTAAGAGGTGGAGAGAAATATATATATATATATATTTCTATATATATATATTTCTCTTTTTCTCTTCCTCTTCTTACTCTTCTTTTCAATGTAACTTTTTTTCTTTTTCTTTTTTTTTTCTGTATTTTTTTTTCTATTTTTTTCTTTTTCTTTTTTTTTTTTTTTTTCGTTCTCCGAGGAATATCGTTCGAATTCGCCGCATTTGGTAGGCGAAAGAGATTCTTATTACGTTAGCTTTACGTTTCCTCT